ATAGAGAGATAAGATAGAGAGAGAGAGAGAGAGATGAGAGACAGACATAGATATATAAATATATAAATACAGATATATAAATATATATAGATATATATACACACATACATATACACATAGACATACACACATACGTACATATATCCGTCCAACTCACACACAGTGTTGATGCCCATCAAAGAAACTCTGATGTTTACAGAGAAACAACACATCAGGAATAAGTGAGCATCTTTTCCCAATTTTATTTAAAGCCTGAGGTTTTAAGCAGCTGCTCCTTACGTCTGTTCATAAAAGGAGTTGTCAGAAAGGAGTTACATTTGGATGCTTGACAGCTGGTTCCTATTTACGACGGCTGCAGTGTCATGTGATCCCCTTTTGCGACCCTCTGACCAGCAAAGACAATGGGGAAGCCAGATTCACTTAACAACTTTGTTACTAATCTAACAACTACAGTGATTCACTTAACAACTGTGGCAAGAAAAGTTATAAAATGGGGCAAAACTCACTTAGCAAATTTCTCACTTAGCAACTATAATTCTGGGCTCAATCAAGTATTACCTGTATTTGATTTCTGGCAAACCACAGACTAACATAGCTCTCCTTCTATAGCAAGGGAGTAAGATCATTTTAATGTGGGTTATTTAGCCCAGAATTCACCCCCAAATCGCTTTCTGTCATCCCCCCCCCCCCGTGCCCCATGAGGAATAACAACTGAGATTGTGATGGCAAAATGTGGAGTGTGGAATACATGACATTCACGTTATCCGATGTTGTTTAAAGTTTACTACTGCAAGGAATAAGAAGCGAGGCAAACTTCAAAATGCAATGTCAGTAATTTGACATATAAATTACAAGCATACAAATTTAATAAATAAACAGTCATGGGACTGGCATCCGCTGATTGGCAAATCCAGGTTTCATAAAACTTGTCTTCTTCTTTAGAAAGATGTTGACTCACCCAACCTTGTCTTGCTGGTAGCAACACCAGGTCCTGTTTAACTGCCTTGCAAAATGGGCCTTTCTTTCCTTCCTTTTCTCAATTTCTTCCTTCCCATTTGGTATCTTTTCCATTAAAGCAGCTGATCCTACAAATGAGAGGGGAACAGAATGAGCAGAGGTGGGTTGCTGCCAGTTCGCACTGGTTCGGGAGAACTGGTAGTTAAGATTTGGCGAACTGGCAAATCCCACCCCTGGCTGGGCCTTGCCGCTGCTTGGTTTTTTTGGCCTGTTTTCCGGACTGTTTTCAGGCCGTTTTTCAGACTGTTTTATCCCGAAAATGGTGTGATGAGTGACATCACCTACCCAGTCACATGACCAACCAGCCACGCCTATCCAGCCAGAGAACCGGTCGTTAAAAAATTTGCAGCCCACCACTGAGAATGAGGAAGATGGCAAGGAAATTAAAAAGACACAAATGCACAGGTATAGAATAGGTGGTACCTGGCTCAAAAGCAGTAACCGTGAAAGTAACTGGGAGAACGGATGCACAATCACCTTAAATATGAGACAGCAGTGTCAAAAAAGCCAATGCAATCCTAGCCAGTGAATCAACAGAGGGATCAAGATCACGCAAAGTACCACTTTTGTTAAAGACCACATTATAATGCCTTGGTAAGGCCACGCTTGGAACCCTGCATCCAGTTTTGGTCAGCACAATATAAAAAAGAAATGTTGGGATTCTGGAAAGAGTGCAGAGAAGAGCAACCAAGATGATTGGAGGCTAAAACCTATGAAGAACAGTTACGAGAATTGGGTATGTCTAGTAGTTTAATACAAAAAAAGGACCGGGGTGACACGATAGCAGTCTTCCAATATTTGAGGGGCTGCCACAGAGAGGAGGAAGGGGTCAAGCTTGTAGAGTACTCATGTACATACTTCTAATACCGCATTCCTATTGGGTAGTTAACATAGCTTAACGATTGGTTAATAACAACAGTTTCGGATTGGCCCCCTAAGCGGCGGGAAGTTTAAATAAATGCCATTGGTTGCGAGCCGCCAGCAGCCGCTATAAAAAGGGTTGCCGCAGCTCGACTTTAGTTGAAGTTACTGAACGCTAATAAAGAGCTGAATTCAAGTCAGGTCTTCGAGTCTGTTTTGTCCTGGCGATAGAACACTGGCGACGAAGGTGGAGTCGGTGGAACAAAGACCGTAAGCATGCGGCAACGACAGCCGAAAGACCCACGAGATGGCCGGCAACAATTCGCCACCCGCACCATTCAACCCAGCCGAAGAAGACTGGGAATCATATATTGACAGGTTCCTGATGTTTTTAGAAAGCAACAAACTGCAAGGAATCACTGACCAGAGGAAGAGAGCTGTATTCCTGATGCATTGTGGCCCGGCTACTTTTAAAATGGCGAAGGCATTAGCAAGACCCAATGATGTTAAACAGATGGCATGGTCAGACCTGAATCGAATGCTGAGAAACCATTACGTGCCTGTCATGTCCAATCTCATTAGAAGACATGAATTCTACAAGCGCGACCAACAAGAGGGCGAAAGTATTGGAGACTTCGTAGCAGCACTAAGGGACATTGGAGTGGGGCATGCAAGTTCCTCAACATGGATGAAGCCATGAGGGATCGCACAGTCCTTGGATTGAGAGACGCTACCCTACAGAGCAAACTGCTAAACCGACCCAACATTACCGCAAATGAGGCCATCGCTGAAGCAACTGCACCCGAAGCAGCAAAGAAGTCGGCGGCAAAAATGAAGCAGATGAATACAACCAACAGCCCGAGCCAAAATAGAGAAAAGAAAACAGAGGGGGCCCAGAAGCACACTACCACAACCTCTCACCATGAAGATATCGAATCCTCAACTGATTCCGAAGAAGAAGACCAAGAGGTAACCAGACTCCATTCAGAAAGAAACCGGAGAGAGAAACGA